TTTAACAAAAAAAATTGAGAAATATGTTTCGAAAAGTAGTTTTGGAATGCATTTCCATAATTGATTTTCTAAAAATGCATTTCGAATTGGTGGGTCTAAAATAAACTTTTGGAATGTGAAATTAGGAGGTGTACTTCAGACCCACTAATCTAGAATGTATTTTTAAAAAATTAATTCTAAAAATATATTTTGAAACCCAATATCTAAAACATGTTTCTAGAATTATTTTGTGCGGAACTATATTCTCAATCTCCAAAACTTTATTTCCAATCCCTGAAACATGTTTTCAGCCATCTTGTTGTGTGAATATTGTACATGGTAAAAAAGTTGTTGTGTTGTGTGAATACTATACATGATAAAAAAAAATTGATACAAATTAAAAACATTTGGAGATTCTTACTTGTTTCTTGTCATTCTTGAAATAATAGGAGAAGAATGAAAATGCTTTAGTAGATTTAAAAATCAGATATTCAAAAATTTAAAATCCAAAAATAAGTACTTACAAATATGAAGATAGGTATAAGAGTAAAATAAGATTTAATTTAATTATGAATATACAAGAAAAAAACTACACTGAGGTGCAGGAAGAATGTTCCTTGTTTGGTTTAGATTGGGTACAAAATACTTTTGATTAAGCCCAAACAAAAGAAGAAGAAAAAAGCAGACCGAAATGTAAATTATTAACATAACAAAGAGTGTTTGTACTCCATTAATTTTTTCTTACATCAGTTTCCACTCATTTCGAAATGAACTAGAATAAATGGGAGATGGAACAACAATTAATCAGTGGGTGAAAAAAGTCAAAGCCCATAAAAGGTAAAAGGGTTTTGAGTAGTTAAGCCCATAAAAAATATGTTGGGTTATATAACCCTTGGTACAAATAGACACGGCAGAGCAAGGAGTTATAGATTTACCCAAAATAGAATGAAAAAGGGCTTTTGGGCTAAGCCATTAAAATTATGAAATTTGGATTAAGGATGTTGCTTCGTGCACCCTATAACTAAATTAAATCTTATTTTACTTTTATTCTTAGCTTTATCTTTTATCAGAGTTTATTTTTGATTTTGTTCAATGACTGATTTTTAAGCCCTATTATAAATTTTTTATTCTTTCCTCTCTTATTCTTCCAAAAATTACAAGAAACATATAAGAACGTGAAACTTTTTTTTTTATCATATTTTTAATATACAGTATTCATACACTTTTATTTATTTTTGGGCTGGAAATACATTGTAAGAATGAGAAAATTGATTGTTTTTTTGAAAAACATATTTCAGAAACTTCTTTCTGAAATTGATTTTCTAGAAATACATTCTGGAATGCACTATCTAGAATTAATTTTCTAGAAATACATTTTGGACCCATCTTTGTGGAATTGATTTCCAAAAATGCATCCCACCCTCCATAATAGTATTATAAAATGCGTTTCTGAAAAAAGTCAATCTGAAAATGTATTTCGAATTAAGTGTTTTAGAATTCAAAATCATTTTCGTGATACTGTTTGAGGTTGAGAAATTTGGGTATATTTTTGTTGGAACATGTAATTCATATATGATATTAACGATTACTTACTTGAATGGTTAGAAAAGGCCTTCAATGAAAATGATAACACAAAATAATTAAATAGTCAAGGGATAGAGGTGTAGAGGTTATACACAAATAGCAGAGAAGTTAGGCTAAAAAATAAAATTATGAGAATGTTATTTTGCTTGAGATATGAAAGTGCATGGAGAAATTATGGGGTGCAAGAAGCAAGAATCTTATATTAATCTAAACTATTCTAAATATACTAGAAATTGGGCTAAGCACAATTGAGAGGAAAAGAAAAGACAAAACTCCCACTAGGTAAATTACCCGTCTTTAATATCTACATCCTTGTATCTTTTAATTAAAATCACATATTTTTACTCATTTTTTTTCTCATTTTCAAAATTATTTTTTCTTCTTAAAAAAAATTATGATTCTTTGTATAATGATACAAACTTTTATAGTTTAAAGAGAATCAATGATTAAATAAAATATAATATGAAGTTTTTACTTCTCAGTTAAAACAATTTAAATAGAAAATGGTTTAAAAATAAAGACAATGAGACCAGGAGATCAAGAAACAAAGATGATGACACCAAACATTGAGACAATTAAGGCAAGGTCAAAACAATGTGGTCGAGAGGTCCAAATAATGAGGCTGAGGCAAAAGGTCGAGATAATAAGGTTAAGAGTCCAAGACAAAAGATCGAAAGGGCGAGATGATGATATTGAATGACCAAGCTGACGAGACCGAAATCGAAACAATAAGGTTAAGACTAGGACAATGTGATGAAGAAATTAAGATGACGAGGTTGAGACATTGAAATGATGATGTCAAGAATGAGACAAGTATGAGAAGTCAAACATTTATATCGTAAGATTGAGAGACTCAAATATTAAGACAATGAGACTAAGAGGGCGAGACAATGATACCAAAAGGCCAAGAGACTCATATGATGAGACCAAATTGATAGGACTGAGAGATTGAGACAATGATATCGTAAAATTAAAAGGATGAGATCGAGTGGTGAAAGATGAAGATGACAAGGCCTAGGGGCTTAGATGATGAGCCTAAGAGGCAGATAGGAAGAGGCCAAATGGACTAAAGAATTGAGCCAAGTGGCCAAGACAATGTATTTTTAGAAGAGATCGTTAAATTGAGTGAAACATCCTGAGATGAGAGACCAAGACGACGAGATTGAGAGATCAAAATGATTACATTTTCTTGAGAGAGAGAGAGTACTGTAGATTGAGTAAAGCATAAAGAGACTAAGATGATGACTTTTTTTTGGGAGGAATGATGTAATATTTTTGATCGGAATGGATTATTCTAGATTGAATAAAACATCTTATTGCATCCATATGGTATCTCCGAGAATGTGCTAATTTTCTGAAACATAGGTTTTATATCATTACTGGATTACACACAAGTTGTAGCTGTCATATCTACACCAGTCCTGAATTGGCTCAGTATTGTAAGGTATCTTTGCTGTCATATCTACACAAGTTCTAGCTGGTACTGAAGTGAAACTGGCAATGAAGTTTAGCTGCATGAGTTGATAGCTTGCAACCTTATTCTAGTTACTCATTTAGGGACAATTATGACAAAAACTGCATTTCATTGACAGTGTAGAGATGATACTGTGCATTTTAGTAATTTCCAACAATCCTATTATAAGTTGAAATGCTTTTGCATCATGAATTTTCCCCTGCTGTTGTGCCATGTGTGTTAAAATAGCTTAATATGAAAATATAGTGTACCATTCTTTAGATCGTTTCTAGATTTTTATGGTAGTAGAAATTTTTGGATTGTGTTACGCATTGATGCATGGTATAGCATGTTTCCATGATGCAATTTATTTGAGAAATATCTTAGAATGTCTACTTGGAGGAAAAGTGGGAAACATAAATCCTTGTTCACATCAAAAGCCGAATAGTAAATATCCATTACCATTATGATTAAATTAATAATCACCATGATACTAATGATTGAGTAATGACAAGCCAGAGATGAATAATCCGACATATTGTATCATGTTATTTGTTTTTCAATGTTAAAGTTGGATTCATTGATCAATTACATCCCTTCAGTACAAAGCAAAGGATTGTTAATTAGTTTCCTCTCTTGGAGTTTATAAAGTCCCTGAGGAAGGATATAAATGATTACTGAATTCTTTTGCAGAGGGAAGCATAGAGAAGTTGTATTAATTTGTGTGGGTTTGTTAGCTTCTAAGTTTGCTTTGCATGATTGAGACGTAGATGGAATTGTACTTGATGATTCCACTCAACAATTGAAGTAACAAATCACTGTAATTGGTGTGAGAGACATTGAGTCAGAAAGTGGTGGTTGGTTTTAGAAAGGGATTTGCACTAAATCACTCTATTGCTCACCACTGCCCTTGTGCGAGATGTCAAAATAATATGACTCCATTATAACCGAAAAAGTTATTATAATGTCATGGAATTTATACGCCCCCAGAAAAGGTTAAACTTTCAAATATTGTACCAAAATTTTGCTTCAAGTTTAGGCTTTGTAACATCACCAAATTTGGTGTAGTTTTTAACAAGCATTTAGCTTCAAATATCATGATGACAACCAAGATGTGGTAGAGATTTACTTATACATGAGTATTTGGTTTTGGTTACTTCATTAACTAGAGAATTCATCGGGCAAAATGGTGCTACTTATCAAAAAAACTTTTTCTTTTCCAGGGAAAATTATGCAAATCCAATAATATAATTTATGGCTAAATAAACTTAAGAAAATAAAATTTTTTAATATCTCAAATAAATTCTTATAATATAACATTATTTTAATTAAACATCATATTTGATTTAGGATGGGAGTTTCCGTTTGATATTTATTAAGATGATTTTAATATGATTATATTTTCTTGTTGTTTAAGATGGATATTGATAATAATTTATATATATTATTTTACTTAATTGAAATTTTGTTAAAGATAAAAATAATGTTGCACAAACAACCCATACATAATGAAGAAAACAGTAAAGCTTTGATTCAGTGCAGAAGATGTGAAAGTGAATTACATGGATCCCATTTGGAGAATCTTATAAGAAAAGAAAAAGGAAAGAAAATGAAGAAGTAATAAGAGAAAGTGTGATTAGAAGTTGCGAAGAGTGAAACAAAGTGAAGAAGAAGAACAAACATTCTCTTCTTTCTGCGTCTTGTTTTTCTTACATTACACTCCACTCTTCGTCTCTTCCACATTCGGTTACCAAGTCTCTCACTATATTTTGGCGGGAGATAGACCCCACCAAATTAAAAAACAAACCCTCGTTCTCATAAATGCAACAACCCCTCTTACCCCCTCCTCTCAAAAACAACATCATATAACAACACAAAACCATTTCCCCCACTCATCTCTCACACACCACCACCATCTTCTTCTCTTCTTACATTTCTCTTCCAAAACGGCGTCGTGCCAATCACCATTCATTTAAAGACAAACATGAAACATTCTCTGTTTCTCTTTCTCGTTCTCATTTTCCACGTTTTGTTTACTTTCATTCCCGCGCTTTCCCTCTCATCCGACGGCCTCGCGCTTCTCGCTCTCAAGTCCGCCGTCGACCAGCCCTCCGCCGCCTTCTCCGACTGGAACGACGGCGATGTGACGCCTTGCGCCTGGTCGGGAATCGTCTGCGCCAACATCTCCGGCGAAGAGGACCCCCGCGTGGTCGGGATCTCCCTCGCCGGAAAATCCCTCTCCGGCTACCTCCCATCGGAGCTCGGCACGCTGCGCTTCCTTCGGCGACTCAATCTCCACGACAACGCCTTCTCCGGCGTCCTCCCGGCGCAGCTCTCCAACGCCTCCGCGCTCCACAGCCTCTTCCTCCACCACAACAATCTCTCCGGTGCTATTCCCCGCTCCCTATGCACTCTCCCGCGCCTCCAAAACCTCGACCTCTCTGAAAACGCCTTCTCCGGCCACATCCCCGACCACATCGGAAACTGCAAGAACCTACAGCGTCTCATTCTTGCCGGGAACAGCTTCTCCGGCGAGATTCCAGCCGGCGTGTGGCCGGACTTGCAGAACCTCCTCCAACTCGACCTCTCCGCGAACGAGTTAACCGGTTCAATCCCTGACCAAATCGGAACACTAGTTTCCCTCTCCGGTACTCTGAACCTCTCCTTCAATCATCTCTCCGGTAAGCTTCCGGCGTCGCTAGGAAAATTACCGGCGACGGTGAGCTTTGATTTCAAAAACAACAACCTCAGCGGCGAAATTCCCCAAACGGGGTCGTTTTCAAACCAAGGCCCTACCGCATTCCTTGAAAATCCTAACCTATGCGGGTTTCCCCTTAGAAAATCATGTTCCGGTTCTGACCGGGATTTTTCTCCAGGGTCGGACCAAAACAAACCGGTTAACCGGTCTAAGGGGTTGACCCCCGGTTTAATTATTTTAATCTCTGCAGCTGATGCTGTTGTTGTGGCCTTAATTGGGCTTGTGATTGTTTATGTTTATTGGAAGAAAAAAGATGACGAGAACGCGTGTAGTTGCATTAGGAGGAGAAAGTTTGGTGAAGCGAAAGGGAGTGTGTGTGTGTGTGGTGGATTCCCATGTGTTAGTGGGGAGAAAAGTGATGATGATGATGACGACGAAGAGTATGAGGTGGAGGGGGGTGAGGGTGAGGGTGAAGGGGAATTGGTGAGGATTGATAAGGGATTGAGTTTCGAACTTGATGAGTTGTTGAGGGCTTCTGCATATGTGTTGGGGAAGAGTGGGTTGGGGATTGTGTATAAGGTGGTGTTGGGGAATGGGGTGCCTGTGGCTGTCAGGAGGTTGGGGGAGGGAGGGGAACAGAGGTATAAGGAGTTTGCTGCAGAGGTTATGGCCATTGGGAAGGTCAAGCACCCCAATGTTGTGAGGTTGAGGGCTTACTATTGGGCACAAGATGAGAAGCTTCTCATCAGTGATTTCGTCTCCAATGGCAATCTGACCCATGCCCTTCGAGGTTAGTTCTATTGGTTTGTTTCACTTTTCTGTTAGATTGTTTTGGGTTGTTTTATTCATGCATTGAATTGAAGTGGGGATCTGAATCAGAGTGATATTGATAGGGAACTCTGAGAAGGTTAAACGGGACAAAATATTTATTAATGGTAGGTGGGTGTTTTGAACTTGATGCATGACATGTATCAGTTAAAAATGACTAATCATGAGTAGTTTTGTACTTTATTGTCCATGTGACTTGTAAATTGGTTTTAATTTCTTTGCTTAAAGGGAAAGTTTATTTATTGAATTACTTTAAGCAGGTGCTCGTGCTGGGTCTTATTAAGCAGGACTTGACTTGATTTGTCTCAGCTTTTTCTTTTTTTAATCGCTCACATTTATTTATTTATTTCAAAAAATTGTGAGTCAAAAATTGAATTTGTGTAATTCATGACAACAACTGTTTTTTCACAAGATAGTAGGTATTAGTAATTTTATGTTGCGCAATATGCGTAAATTTTTTATTATTTTTTTTGAAAAATTGGTAGCTATAATAATAAATAGTGTTTTTAAATATCTTCTATAGGTAAAAAAAGAAGAAGAAAACTTTACTTTTCTCTCGTCATGTAAACTAGTATTTTCACGACATGGGCTATAGATAGAATATTTGTGTTTATTCCGAATATGTGTTTGGTATAATAACCAAAAGAAAATGAGTTGAAACTTGTATGGATTATTTACCGAAAAGAAATTGAATAACTTTAGATTCCCTTGCTTAGAAAGTAAGGGGGAATTGGATTAGGACCTTTTATCTGTTGCGTCGTAGATGACGTCGGGGGATATGCCACCTGCTAGAACCCTAAACTAAAGAAACTCTTCTCTTCTCGTTCAGCATGTGTTTGTGAGATGAGGTGGCAACACACGCTCTTGGTGGGGACCAAGATAAATCTCTTGTCTTTTTGGGCTTTAATCACTAACAAAACAAAACTTGTGTATTGCAGCTGAAGTTTCACTCTTCCAATCCTCTTCCCTTCTCAACTGCAATGTTGTTTGATTTTAAAATCTTTGCTTTCCTTCTTTCACAAGACTTTTGAGTACATGCTAATCCAAATGTTTCAGAACTAGTTTCCTTTCATATATCTCATGTTTTGTAGGCCGAAAAGAAGGGGCACGCACATTTGTGTCTTCAATTCAGGAAAAAAAAGTTTAACTTCGTAGTGAAATGGGTGCTTTTTGTTTCATCATTTAGTGGTTCACTTCTCATTTAGTGAGATTATACTCATGATTTTATAGATACTCCAGTACATTTGAATCAATAAAATGCTTTAGAAAGGGTGTATGTATGAAAGTGTCCTATTAAAGTTAACATAAATCTGTAGTTGCAATAAAAAGTACTGTATCATGATCAGCATTTGCATTCTATACCAAATGTTACAAATAATTTCAAAGCCACTAACGAACATTACTAAAGGTAATGCTTTACACTTCACTGAATTTGACTATGGTGCAGGGAGAAATGGCCAACCAACTACAAATCTTTCATGGTCCATAAGGCTGAAAATAGCCAAAGGAACAGCCAGGGGCTTAGCCTATCTCCACGAATGCAGTCCAAGAAAATTCGTCCATGGTGACATCAAACCCTCCAACATCCTACTTGACAATGACTTCCAACCCTACATTTCCGATTTTGGCCTTAACCGTCTTATCAGCATTACCGGAAACAACCCCTCCACCGGTGGGTTCATGGGTGGAGCTCTTCCTTACACGAAGTCATCACAGAAAGAGAGAACCAACAATTACAAAGCCCCTGAGGCTCGTGTCCCTGGCTGCATACCCACCCAGAAATGGGACGTGTACTCATTTGGGGTTGTGTTGCTTGAAATACTAACTGGTAGGTCACCAGAATCCTCTCCCACCACATCAACTTCCATGGAAGTTCCTGACTTGGTAAGGTGGGTGAGGAAAGGGTTCGATCAAGAAAGCCCATTATCTGAAATGGTTGATCCATCGCTTCTCCAAGAAGTGCGTGTTAAGAAAGAGGTGCTGGCTGTGTTTCATATTGCTTTGGGTTGCACTGAGGGAGACCCTGAGGCTCGACCAAGGATGAAAACTGTCTCTGAAAACCTTGATAAGATTGGAACGTAATGTTCAAACTTTGCAGTGTGCTTGCTCTCTAGGACTCAGCCTGAGACTGGAACTTACCCAAAAGATGCATTTGAATCTACCGATGCATTTCTGTGGTAACGCATCAACATGGTGCTGCAAATCTGTTCCTTACATTTTAGATAACCCTTTTCATTTGTTTTTGGAACTAAAGGAATTTTTGGAGAGTTGTAATTATCTCGGTCTCACTTTCATCTCATTATCATTTTATTATTTTTTGTTACATATCAGGAAATTATTATATATTTTAATATCCGCGTGTGTTTTCATAGTTTGGATGAGAGGAAAGAACGACCTTTAAAACTCAACGTGGGGATGAGACTGTAAGGATATTCAACGACAAATGAAAACCTAAATGTGGTAACTGGCTTGGTGGCCTTTCCCGGAACTCGGTTTATGTAGGAGTCACATTTTTTAAAATTTCATTCATATCCAATACAAATTAAATAAAATTGTTTAAATTCATCACATCACATCCCCTCCCTTTAGCTATCATATCATATTAGAAAATATAAGAAACCTAATTTAATTTTACAAAATTAATTTAATATCGAAATGATTATAATTGTCTATATATTACAATTTCATCACGAGAGATAATTTTTTCATTATACACCCATATTTCGAGAGGAATCTTTCACCAACTTGAATGAAGTTCTCTCCTATATATGGAGTTGAACACAGAAATCAACGTGATAAAATAAACAGATCAACATTTACCTACACAGTTCGATCATGTTGAAGATTATGATTATTTATGAAGTTATGTACGATTGTAATCCAGCATAAGACAACAAACAATTATACAGTTATTGATGTCTCTTCTGCTCAGCATTCGCCTCAGCTAGGTTTCATTTTTTGCTTCATTGTGGGGAAGGAATCAAAACTTGGTGGGACATTGGAATTGAAGGGGAGGGTGAGAGTGAAGGCAAGGGGAAGTGAGAAAATGTACTTGAAATGTGGTGTACGACCAATGATGATCTGACTACCTAAGTAGCAAGGCTGAAAACATGACATGTTTAAAGGTTACAAAACAAAGGGACAGAGATTTTAACAAAAGGTGTTTGGAGTCGGCCCAATAAGCACGCCAACATTTCACAGTTTTGTTCAAAAAATGGAATTCCTTCATTATATTAACAATTTGAATCGGTGGGTGGTGCTTACTATATTCCTATGTATTTCCTTTATAAGGTTAAAGATAAATGACTTGATTTAGACAAAAAGTCTAGACTTGTTAGTAGACCTAGTTGATTAACAGTCAAGTTAATGACATGAGTTCTTATGATTGATGTTATAATTTAGACAGTTGAAGTTAAGCTTTATCACAAACAATCATAAGCTTCATTGATATCTCAGTTGTATAAAGATTATAACAATATGTGGAGATTTTTAGACTCAGAAATGTTGCATGCTCAGAAAGATACTTTATGGTTGCTTTATTGGTTTAATGGAAACAGGCAATTTATTGACCAAATTGTTTAGCTAATAATGATAATTCTGATCAGCTTAATAGTGTGCATCCATCTATTTTACCTAAATTGCAGATAATTTTTCAAATACATTAATAAACTCAATTATGTCTATAATAATACATTAATATGAAAATGATTTCAATTTTTCATATTTATTAGTTTAATCACTTGACCAAATAATTTATGAGTACAAGATCAATAGCTGGAAATTTAATCTAATTTAGGAAACAAAATCAAACCAAAACTATAACAAATTATTCAAATCCAAAAAATAGGACAAATGATATAGACAAAAAATTATTCCGAATCCAAAGTATAAACAAAAAATTATAAAGCACAGAAAGAACATCCAATTAATAAAGTCAAGGGCTAACAATTGATATAGACAAACTAACGAAACAAGAATAAGAAACATACTTTTACGAGGAAAATATTTATTAACCTCTTTTCTGCTGGCAAAGGATATTTTTCAAAGGTATATGCATTTCATAAACGTTTTATAATTGGAGTAGAATAATAAGTTCGTAAGTTCGCAATGCATATTGATTTCATCCCTCCCTTGTAAAGTGACCTTGGCCACCGCTAAAGCTGAAAAAAATAATACAGAATAGAGCTGGCATATCACTACATGGAGCAAATATATGCCACAGGGTGCGGAGAGAAAAATATCTAATTATTCTTGTATCGAGAAGAATCACATCATTCAAAACTGCTCTGCACAATTACTAACTTTTTCAGCTTGAAGAGTCATCAAAACGTAAATTACATCATCTACAATACCTGGACTACATATACCACATGCCCACCAAAAGGTCCATAAGGCAAACTCATTTTTAAAGTGACCAGATGTAACTGGTGATCCGGATCAGGCACAGAACGGTGAAATGTCCATTGCTAATCTTCTCTGCTGTGCCACACATAATATAAGCTTGTTAACATCGATGATTGATCAAATGAAATTTAACGTTTATTTTCTTAACCATGACGTTAGTGCCAATATGAAACTACTTAATACATCATGAGAAATTATTGCATGATATAAAAGTGATTTTACAAAGTTTTATGTGTGGGCATATTGTTTTACAGAAACATGATTGGCATGCTCTTTAGCAGTTTATCATCATACACAGAAGCCTGGTGAGCTATGCAATAAAATCACCCTCTTGTTTCACGTTGTTATAGAGATCACCACTAGAATAAGCCCTCTAAAACTGGACACTGAATTATTCTCAATATCAACAGCATGAGTTTATTTTTTAATAAAAATAAAATCCACATGTTTTACCATGATAATGATATTATCTGGTAATTGTTACAATATAAATTGATAGTAAAAAAAAAAAAAAAAGGGGGAGAGAGAGATGGTGATGAAATCGAAGTAACATCTTGCTAAAGTTTAAACCTTCACTACTGCACATCTACCTACTAAAGAATAGAAGAGATCTCTTCCACACAGGAAAGCTGGAACTAACCAAAAAAAGTCTTCAAATAGAAAGGTTGTCACCGAAGTTTAATCAAGGATTTGGGATATATTTAATTGAAATGGATTACGGGGAGAAACAGACACTGATTATAATTTCCTGATTCAGACAGTACATGGAAGTACATTAGATAGGTCTAATTCCTACAACAATTAATAAGAGTTCTACCACCTACAACAATTAATAAGAGCTCTACAACCTACAGTAAAATATAATATTTTTTGTATCGTTGCAATATCTTTACAATATTTGATAACATTTGCTCGTAACTCAACACTCTCCCTCCGACTGGTAAGTGGATATCAATCATTCCCAGCTTGCATGTAAAATCATGAAATCATTTGTCAGAAGTCCCTTCTTAAACAAATCTACAAGTTGAAGCCTTGATGGGATGCAGGAAACAGTTATAAGGCCATTAACCAATTTCTCTCTGATGAAGTGTCAAGCTATCACTATGTGCTTGGTACCATCATGTTGGATAGGGTTATGAACAATAAATCATTCAAAAAGTCAACAAATTCATGTAATATCTTGAGGTGAACCTTTTATTAATAACAAACCCATGATAGTCTACATCAGTATTCAACTCCATTTTCAATATCCGTCCTTCTTAAACATCAACACCATTCCTAGACTTAGGGTTTAGGGTTTAGGGTTCTATTTAAAGCATTAAGTGTCACTCTCTTGGACCATGCATGAATTGACTAACTACACTCACAGCATAAGCTATGTCTACTTTGGTGAGAACTAGGTAAATGAATTTTCGTACAAGTCTTAAATACTAACCTTTATTTACTGCAGACCTATCTTTGTCACTTCAATTTTATGGTTTTGTTCTATAGGTACTCTGGTGACCTAACGATCAATCTAACATGTTTATTTGAGAAGGTCTAAAACAAATTTCCTTTTAAAATAAGGATGCCCTTTATTGAATAGACAACTTCAATTCCAAGAAAATACTCAATTTTTCATCTCAAACTAGGGAACAAGTTATTCTTTAAAGATTAGTTTCTCATACTCATCATCTCCTACAACAATCATATCATACATAGATCAAGAGAAAAGTAAATTTCCCTTCAGAGAAATATTTGATAAATAAGGAATGATCACCTTCACTCAACAAGTTTCCCAAAGAAAACAAAGTCTAAGTCTTCCAAACTGAGCATGAGGTAATTACTGGAGTCCACAACATCATCATCAGATACTCCACAATATCGTAGTTGTGTTGTGCTTGTGTTTCCAACAAAATCTCAAGCACATGTTAGCACCATTATACCAAAATCGTGGGATTCACTTGGAGATCGTCATCCATGCTATAGTTGAGCAAGTCGTGTGATACAATGAACAATTCAATCACAATTTGATACTCATTACGATTTGCATTGTCCGGCTTCTTAATCGTGTCGTGTTAGAATTACTTATTTATTTTCTGTTTAAATTAAAGGAAATTGCATACTATAGAAATTGATATCTGAAGTATATACTTTATAAAAAGCTTAAGAAGTTTAGCACAAAGCTCAAGCTATATAGCAGTAGAACTTACATTTTTCTTGTGCAAACAGGAAAACATCCTTGGGTTGGGACAAGGCCTACTACAGAAAATCTAGTATGAATAGAGCGATAAACCACGTGCACAATATAACTGGTCGGCTGTAGTTTTCTTTGGTTTATGAATTACTTATTTATTTCCACAAGATTACTCAAAAATGAAAGTTCTACAACTAAAATACAATTTAAAAAAAAGACTGACCTGAACAAAAAAAAGAAGGGATCTCCAGATTTGATGAAAGTAGTTATTCTGCGGCAGCAGATCTTAAGATTTTGTGTTTCAACTTCCTATTATGGTTTTCCTGTTCAAAGTTGATAAAAGAAAAATCAAGCACAAGATAACAACAGTCTAAAATTCAAAAAAATTCTATCAGCAGACAGGCACACCAACAAATTCCAAATTGAACATTGAGACAACTTTTCAGGCTGTGTAGTAAACTTGAAAAGTGTTTCATTGAGGCGACTTATGAATGTGAATAGTGATTGATCATTGCATGTCAAACTGGCAAATATATTTCGAAAGTAAAGGGAAAGTGTTGAAACTAGGAAATAGAATGGCTCATATAAACTGTCTGGAAAAGAAATTGACATGATTAAAAGGGTAGGAAAATATAAAGACAAAACAAAACTACAATGATGAAAGGAGAGAAAATTGAGCATGAAGAAAAAGAAATACAATCAACACAAATAACCCAAAAACCAAAAGTGCATACAAGTAATTCAGTCAAAGATAACCTGGAAAGAAAAGTAAACTGACTAGAAAACAAGTTGTAAAAAACATATGAAAAGATGAAATATACTAATTAGATCAGAAGAGTAGTAAAAAATAATGTTTCAAAAAGAACTTTTAATAAAAAAGGAAACACACTGAAATAAGCAAATGAGATTAGCAGGAAAATTAATAACTGAAAATAACGGGTAGGGTAAAGTAAACAAAATGCAGAAAACAGGGAAGTTCAGAATCAAAGTGTAAAGCTTAAAGAAATATATCAAGTATAAAAGTAAAGTAAAAAAGAGAAGGCTAAAAAGCATTGAGCAAGAAAACAAACAATAAATTTAAAATCAAGCCAGAAATATAACTGAAAACTGAAAGAAAATATACACACATGAATTTGTGGAATGACAATAATCACAAATGAAAATCGCATGATATGTGCAAATTTAATAAATGGACAGAAAATAACTTGTGTTAGACATGAAAGTAAATGGCAGAAAATATAAAAGGGATAGCATGCCTCAAATATGACCTTCATCTGTTATTTGGGATACTGATACGGTTTGGGTTCAAAGGAACCCTAAGCTAATCGTCCTAAACACTATCTATTTGTAGACCTATCAAATAACAGCCTAGAGTCCTCAAAACTGATTATAAATTTGAAATGAACCCCAGAACCAGAACAATTTGATGCCTTACCCTTAATCACAAGTTTTTGGTAACTGCAAGCCATTTCTTGTAACAGCCTCTTATCTTATAAAGTGGTTTAGGCCTAACTCAACCTTGCAAAACCAAATTGTAAGGTGAGGATTGTCCTCAACTTATATACTGTATTTTGATATTATTCTATTCGACGTAGGCTTGAGTTTTTCTTAATACACCCCCTTAAGTTCAGCACTATTGGGCTTGGCACATGGATAACATGGTGAGTGGCCCTTTTTATTGGATCTAGGATAGGCTCCGGGTGTCTGTATCAACTATCTAGTATTCATATTCAGATCATTACTATTCCACCAATTTTTCTGCCAGTCATTCTTATCTCTTATCAAAATAATTGACGAATATCAATTCAGACTAATTATATTATTCATCAGCAAATTTACTTACACCAACAGTCCAACACACCGTAGACCCCATAAACCTATATTTTAAAATCTTAGTAGTCACTGGCGCAGTATTCAGATCCCTAAGTAGATTTTGTATTGCATTATGTATATAATATAGATGCTTAAAACAAAGAAAATGCCTAAAATTAAAATCATATTCTGATTAAGTTTTATTACGAAGAGTGATTAAGTTTAATAACAAAGAGGTCCAAAACAGCAAAAACTGTGAAATAACATATCACCATGCCCAAAAGAGGAAGGAGCATTTTGTAAAACGTTTCAGGTCAGGTTTGTAATAGCACCATTGGAAGTGTCACCGGAAGCCTCATAAAAAACACTGAGAGAAGTACAGAGGCATAATACAGGAAGTTGAGAGGCAGAACGCAGGAGGGAAGGGCTGATTTGATAAAGAGGGGGTGCGAAAATCATTGTTTATATGTTAAAAGAGAAAGTTACCTTTTACCCTTAATGATAAAAAAGCAAAGAGACAAACACCTAATTGACCCTGTTTCCCAGCCTAGAACTGAGTCCCTTACGTTAATTCTAAATTGCATAATAGACCTTCCTAAAACTGCGTAATCTGTTGTGATATTGTTCATGCAACGTGCCCATGTTATATCATAACATAATTGTTCAACATTGAAAACAATAACAACAAAGACTAGTATCTTACAATCATTACAAGGATGGACTTTTAGAATTGATAGTGTATGCACGGAATATTTTTATACTGTCGTCTAATCACAAATAAATTGTCACACAGCTTGTTTCGAGACAACTAGAAGAGTTTTCCACAGCTTCTCCACTGAAAACATAAAGCTTTCTCAGATAGAGAGTTCTCAAAACCTCTTCACTTATATTTCTTCGAGTTTAGGATTTGGATCTAACTCAATTCTACATAAATCATTTATGGTAGGATTGTCCCCATATATATAGTTTAATTTGGTCACCTACGATCTCCATCTATATCCAAACAGGCATATAAGTTTGTAAACACGTCTAGTAACTACTTATAAGTTATACCAGGCCTGATTACCTGATTTCCGATTGGTTGACAATGCAAACTAATTACATGTATGAAAACTAAAGTCTAATAGTAATGTCACCTGCTCGAGAACCATAGCAGAACTCTTCTCCACCAAGCTGGTCAAATTCTGAATTTTAACAAGCATTTTCTGATACAACTCCTCCAAACCCTCGGTGTAGCTCCTAGCATCAGACCCCACCATTCTGCTCAATCTTCCAATCTCAAACCCCTCCGCGCACCCGTCGAGCTCCCTCTGGTCCTTGGCGGCCTGCTTCATCCCGGAAAGTCTCTCATCGCTGCCTTCATCCATGGGGGAGCCACGGAGCCCGCAGTCGAGAGCGGGGAGGCGCGAGTTTGAGCTGAAGGCGCCGTAGTGGCCGCGGAAGGCGGGGCCGATGTTGACGACGTCGAGGGAGCGGGGCTCGAAGCACTGGGGCCCGGTGCGGAACTGGAAGGCGCGGTACTCGTGCGTGTGCACATGCGAGGAGGGCGCGTTGTCGGAGGGAGGGGAAGCTAGGAGGAGGAAGACGCAGGGAGGGAAGAGAAAAGGTTGTTCACGGTAATTTGAGTTGTTTAGGTTTGGGTTTGAGTTATCGATTGGGGAGGAGAATTGAGAGAGAGAGGAGAGGGAGGAGGTGACGGAGAACTCGCGCATGGAGGGGCGAAGGGGGGAGCGGCGGCGAGCGGAGAACCAGCCTAGGAGGGAGGAGTGGGGACGGAGGGCGGAGGGGAGAACAGTGCCGGAGGAGTCGTAGAAGGAGGGGGAGCAGAGGAAGCCGGTAACTGTGGCGAGGAGGGTGGGGGCGGAGGAGGAGGAGTCATCGGAGAGGGTGAGGGGGAGGTGGGTGACGTGGCCGAATAGGAGGCCATGGATGGCGGAGGGGGAGGTGGAGAAGCGCTGGATGAGGGAGGCGAGTGTGGGGCCGGAAATCGCGATCTTCTGCAACGGTGGATCTTCCATGGCGGCGCTGAGAGAGAGAGAGAGAGAGAGAGGTTGGTGCCAACAATGGATGCGTTTGTTTTGAATCTGTTTTACTTTCGGACTACAGAGTCTTGGAATGCTTATACCAACACACACTCTGGTGCTTCTTTTGTATGCTATTTTAATGCCATTTTGTTTCTATTAATTGAAATTTTGTAAATCTCATCAAAATAATTATTTTAAATTTACAATTATGCATTGCTATACTATGATTGCTTATATAATTTGTAATATAATTAACTTATTTAATATAATAGTTTATAGAATAAAATTATTTTATATTAAGAATAAGTATATAATTTAAAACAAATTCTATATATATATATAATATTTTTTTATTTAATATGACACTTCAATTCATACTTAAATTTTAATAATTTTTTTACTTTAAAATTATTCTAAATTTATATTAATTATTTATCTCATACCAAGCAATTAATTAAATAATTAAATTGATTTTATAGATAATTTTAAAATATGATTCTCACATTATTTTTATTTTTTATTATAAAAAAATAAATAAGTAAATGAAATTAATCAAATAAATTATAATTTTTTTAACAATTTCTTTTATTTTTAACTATTTTTCCTTACATATAAACAATTTCATTTATATATATATATATATATATATATATATATATATATATATATATATTCTCAAATTCATTCCCTAATATAAACAAAAACAACAGTATATAAAAAGAATCTCATGTTTTATTTAAGAATCTTCTATATCATGATTTTATAATTTTAATAAATTTTAACACGTAATAAAAAGTGATATGTAAGAGAATATATATAACTCAAACAAATCAAAGCAATTTGAGTAAATTTATTTCTGCTTTCCACCAATATGAAAAAAATACTATTAAAATACAGATAAGAAAACCTATGTATTATTTGTATATTTAACATAAATAATATTTTGAACTTAGATTACAAATTGGAAACATTGTCTCGATGACTCGAAGGGAATAGTGTCCTTTTTTCTTGAGAAGAAGAAGAAGAGAATTGTCTCTGTAGAAAATGGATACATGTGTAGAATATAAGTTATGAGCCTTAACAAATGTTTTTATTCTACTTTGTGATGAAATGAAAAATGAATTATAACTTCAACTCTTTCTCAGTCCCTTTTCATCATTGAATGAGAACATGTAAGATGCATTGAAGAAAAAGCATAATCGTTTCATTTAATGAAATACTTGTTTAATAGATATTCAAAACATACATTATTTCTCCAAGTTAAAAAGAATACTTGAGTGTAAAATAATTCTCACACTATATACACATAAACTCAATGAACAAATAAATAAAGAATAAAACATATATCCTTTCTCCAGTAATTCAAGTAATCAAAGTAATCTTCTTCCTCAACACACACCCCCGCTCAAAATCAACCCTTTACTCAGTTGTTTGGACCTTAGTAGCTCCATCATCCCCTGCAGCCAACTCTGGTTTGATCTCCTCCAATTGCTGTAGAACCTGGTGAACTTCAGGCCTAGCAGCAGGAGATGGATCCACACAATGCAGTGCTAACTTCAAGGTGTTAAGCAATTCATCTCCTATGGCTGGTGCATCCCTCATGAGCTCCAAATCAAACACTTCATTTGTCCACTCTTCCTTCACTATGGAAGCCACCCATTGGGGCAAGTCCATGCCATTGGTTGGCTCCCCAGGTGGCTTTCCAGTTAGGAGTTCCAACATGATGACACCAAGGCTGTAGACATCAGTTTTTGTGTTAGGCTTCTTGGTCTTTGAAAGCTCTGGTGCATTGTAGCCAAGACTTCCTGCAGTGGCAATGATGTTGGTGTTGGCAGAAGTTGTCATCAGCCTTGAGAGACCGAAATCTGTTATGTGGGCTTCTGTTTGCTCATCCAATAGTATGTTGCTTGATGTAAGGTTCCCGTGTACAATGTTTTCTTGGCTATGGAGGTAGCTCAAGCCCCTAGTGACTCCAATCATTATCTTCATCCTTGTTGGCCATTCAATAACAATTTCAGGCCCACGAGCTGCATATGTTAAAATTAGATATATCACATATCAGTATCAGAAGCAATGACCCTACACACTCTAATCGCTGTTTTATTACTTAACATGAAGGAATAATTCATGTATTTATTAGTATCAGAAGCAATGGCACAACACATTCGAATGAAGAAATGATGCATATCTTAGATATATCATATCAGCATAAGAAGGAATTGCATAAGAAGGAATGGCACAAACATTAAACGATTAAATCTCAAGGCATACGAAACTCTACTTACTGTTTAATACTTTACACCATGAAAGAATGATAAATGTTAGAAATATCAAATAACAGTATCAGAAGCAATGGCAGAACCAATTTAAAGATTAAATCTCAATTCATAAGATTCTATAATTACTGTTTGACAATTACACCATGAAAGAATGATAAATGTTAGAAATATCAAATATCAGTATCAGAAGCAATGGCAGAACCAATTTGAAGATTAAATCTCAATTCATAAGATTCTCTAATCAGTCTTTAATACTTACCGTGAAGGAATGATGCTAGGCTTCCTTTTGTCATGTAATCAAAGACAAGAAGCTTCTCTCCTTTTGGTCCTAAATAGTAGGCTCTAAGTGCTAAGAGATTTGGGTGTCTGATTTTTCCAAGTGCAGCAACCTCGGTTTCAAACTCCTTCTGCCCTTTAGTAGTCTTTTCCCTCAACCTCTTCACAGCAACTTGGTTACCATCTTCCAGCGTTGCTTTGTATGCTGTTCCATATGCACTTTTTCCCATTATCTCCGCAGTTGCACACAAAAGATCATCAGCAGTAAACACAAAAGGCCCATCAAAGTGAACTAGTTTCCCACCAGCTTCACCTCCTGATTCAACCTCACCACCAGCTGAAGCACCTTTCTCAACACTCCTAGCAGATGCTGCAGCCTTTGCAGCCTTGCCACTCTTTCTGCTTGAAGCAGCTCTTCTCCTGATCAAACAACAGAGCAAAAAGCAGCACAGTAATAACAGAATCAACAGAAGAACACCTGCCACTATGAGGATGATGTCCTTGGTGCTTAATTTGCGATGATGTGGCTTAGAAGGAGGCTGTGGTGATTGAGCTGGAAGATTATGAGGAGGGGGTGAAGGGCATGGTTTTGAACTGATGTACCCACATAGCTCAAGATTCCCTACAAAAGAGCTAGCATTGAATCTTTTGGAAAGTAACGATGGGACAGGACCAGATAGGTTGTTGAAAGAGACGTTGAATGAACTGAGATTTGCCAGTTTGGTTAGGGAATCTGGAATTCCTCCAACTAATTTGTTTCCAGAGAAATCAAGTTGGCTAATGCTTGAGATGTTCCCTATTGTTGGTGGTATTTGGCCATTAAGCTTATTGTTCTTCAGGTTAAGCACGGAAAGGTTGTGCAACCTATCCAAAGAATCTGGAATACGGTTTGCAAGTTGATTGCTCTCCAGGTTTAATGAAACTAGAGAAGAGAGGTTAGAGAAGCTAGTAGGAAGGCTGCCATTGATGGCATTGTTGGAAAGATCAAGAATCCGAAGCCTGGAAAGTGCACCTAGTTCACTTGGAATAGGCCCTACAATTTGGTTATGACTCAAAGAAACATTTTCGAGTAAAGCTAGCTTGCCTAGAGAAACTGGGATGGTTCCAGAGATGAAATTGTGATCAAGGGTCAAAACTTGAAGCTGGGAAGCTTTCTTCTTTCCAGCTCCACCCCAAGAATCTGGGATAGAACCAGAGAGGTTGTTGTGTTGGAGGGCAAGAACGGTCAGAGAAGGAGACATAGTTAAACTGCTAGGAATGGATCCAGAAAGTGAGTTGAAGCTCAAATTGATCCTATATATCCTAGTGGATCTTGCTAAACTGGGAGGAATATTACCACTGAGGGAATTGTTGCTAATATCAAGAGACTGAAGCATTGGACAATTTCCAAGGGAAGGAGGGATAGAACCTGAGAGCTTGTTATTGAAGAGATAAACACCTCTAAGGTTAGGAAGGAGGCCAAGTGACAAAGGAACTGGACCAGCAAGAGCATTGTCATGAAGACTGAGCTTCCTAAGAGACTGAAGTTGACCAATTTTCTCAGAGATCCTACCACCTAACCCTCTCCAAGGAAGCTGAATAGCAATAACCTCACCATTCACACACTTGATTCCTGCCCACCCTCCAGAACAAGCACCAACACCACTATCATTCCAGCTCCTCAGAACCCCTTTTAAATCAATCAGCTCATTCTTAATAGCTCTCAGGGCTTGGAAATCAGCTTGAGTCACAACCACCCCATCCCACAAGCTCCCTGAAACAGGCTGAATGGCAGAAGCCAAAGCTTGCAAAAGAAACAAAAAAAAGACTAAGCTAATAAAACCACCACCACCTTTGTGGTTGTTCCCCAATCTCCTCCTCCTACCACCATATGAAGCAAAAGAGAGGCTAATCTGAAAAGGGTCGGTGTAGAAATCTTTGACATGACAACTGTTGTGTCCCATGAAAGTTGTAAGTGGGAACTTGGAACAAACAATGGCTAAAAGCAAAGAAAGTAAGACAGACAGAAACAGGTTCCACTTCCACTATCTTGAGGTTCACAACTCTCAGACTCAGCTCAGATAGTAGTAGTAGGTAGTAGTATAATACTAGTACAATGAAGAACAATGAGGAGGATCTAAATAACCCAAGAAAGTGAAGGGTGAATAGAGAAGGACTACAGTTCTGAAAAAGGCATGTGAGTGAGGAAAGTGTTGGTGGGGTTTAAGGTTTAAGGGAGAGATAAATGAAACGAGGTAGTGGTGGTGGTGGTGAGTAGAATGAGTCAAAGGTTGCAATTTTCTTAATCCTAACGGCTAGTTTTACTTCATAGTCTAAATTATCATAACTGCTGCTGCATAACGGGTTGGGTTGGGACATTAGAAGACCAAGCAGTGATGAAAGATGGGGTTTCCTCCTCCAACGGCTACATTGCATTGGATTTGGTTTTGGATGCATTATATTTTCAAGGGTCCCATTCTTTTCCACCTTCCACTTCCTCATGTGACTTCTCATCATCAACATTTTTTATAGTCTAAGAAAATATGCCACTGTCACACAAGACAAAAACTTTAACTACCCAAACTACCCTTGCATAAGTCAGTGTTTTGGTGAATAATCCTAAAATTTTGCAAGATTGATTCCAAATCGAAAGCTTTTATTCTAAAACAAGTTACGTAGTAAAATTTGTATAGTGCTTTTTCATTTAATCTTTTGTGTACATTTTTCATTTGAGTTTCTATACTTAAAAATTATACGTGCAAGAAACGTTGGGGACAAAGATGAGAACAACGAAGGTTTTGGTTTTCTTCTTTTTACTTTGTGACTAATATTTGGTGACAAAGAAGGAGTTTATCTAGGGCATCTTTGTGGCAATGGTGTGTAATGTACTGCGCGTGGGGACATGAATGTGACACGGATTGTTCACCTCATACTTTCATCATTCACGGTTCTGTGGAAGGAGTTGTCAAGTGTCACATTCCTGAAGCATTGTTATGTTTTGGAAACAACATGGGGAAGAAGTGAACTACAAGAAATTCAAAATTAAGAGAATTAATTAAGGGTTAAGGCATTAACTTTTTCAACAACAAACAAGATTTTCAAATGCTAAAGCATGATAGTTATCATGTTTTATACCTTCAACTTTACATTACATTTAAGGACACTACTTAGAGAATTAAGGAGGAGTTTCGGAAATTTGCCAAAAATCAAATTTATTTTAGTAATTAATTATACATATAATTTATCATTATAACATGTTGTAATGATCATTGTTATTGTCAATTATAATTAAAACCAGTTTTTAATTCAATCAGTTTGTAAATAAGTAATTTTAAGATAATTAGTTATGTTTGGACAAAAAAAACTTTTTATTTGAGAAATTAAATATATATATATATATATATATATATATATATATATATATATATATATGTTTGTGTGTACGTAATATTTCAAAGAAAAAACAAAATTAAAAATAATTATATGTTATAAATTTTCAGATTCACAAAAATAACATGTTTTTTCAGAAGAAAAAAATCTTTTCTAAATTTTAATTATCGTACCTAAAAAACAGTTTAATTCTTTAAAAGTAATCTTTCCGCTTCAAAAGTAAAAAAAATGTTAAAATGGAAAAAATATGTTGTTTAATGATTTCTAATTATTTTGGTAACATTTATAATTTAAATTTACTATTTTATAATTTCCAATATTAGTAAAACCTTCATTTTAATCATATTACCAGCTTTCTTTTTTAAGTCAAATTCTTGAAGCAGAAAGTATTATTTGTAAGTTGCATAAAAATATTATAGTGATATTTAAAATACTTCATTGAAGAAAGATTTAGGGTAAAAAATTTCAACATGAATTATTATATTTAACAATACGATTATTTTCCTTTTAACAATTGAAAATAAGTTTCACTTGAAAAAAAATGTAAACTAGATTGTAGTCTTAGAAGAAAAGTAAGTTCTATTTTGGTATTCAGATATGCACGAAAAAAGGTGATAGGAACAGTTTTCTCATTTAATGGTTGAAACTTGTCTGCTCCAATCCATATCAAATTACAAAAATGTAATGCCTTTTGGCCATGCTTAATTATCAAAGCTTAAATACATTTGTTCCTACATATGAATATCAGTTTCTACTTTTAATTCTTATAATAGGTATGCTTGTTTTAAAAAATATATATAGGAAATACATATTTTTAATAAAATATTCACTTGTTAATAATTTTTATATATTTTAATACTTAAAAAAAAAATAAAAACAAAAAATTATTTATTTTATAAGCACCTTTGAGTTATTTGTAAAATAAGTTGTTTCAGTTGAAAATATTTTTTAAATTATAATCAGTAAAATAACAATTACTTAAAAATAAATGATTTTTATAATTATTTTTTATGCAAAATAGACAAATATACCTAATATATATATATATATATATATATATATATATATTCTATTTTGTATAAATTAATATTAATTTTTTGAAAATATAACACTAAACAATAAAAATCTACAATTAAAAAAATAGGTGTGATATGTGAAGAGGAAACATAGTTTGGCCACAACTGAAGCGTGCATGCATGTTTCAAACGAAACACATTACTATTTTATGAGTCAAACTGCTGTGGCTTTTCATGTTTCACATATACCATTATCACAAATTAGTCAAAAAGTACTCTAATACTTCTTGTTTAGCATGTAATTTGTGCAAATTTTGATAAAGAAAAATGAGTATGATGCAACAACTCGGTCCCAACTTTAGATAACATTATAAAACAATATTTTATCATTATTATGAAATAAAGACAACAGATAAATAAAAAAATAATTTCAAATTTAATTAATAATTTGGCATCGCACCACTTTAGAAAATGTGGATGCATCTGATGTTGAAAGAAAATAATGAAATAGAAAGTCCAACCAATGATGTGTTAGTTAAAATTACTCATATCATTTTGATAATTATTATTCTTTTAATAAAAACTGCTGTTTTATGTTTATTTTGGTAATTATAGACACAGGCACACATGCGTTTTAATTATTATAATTTTGAAAAGTTAATTTATACTATTACGTGAATAGAAGAAAAAGCCCCAATTAGAGAAAATTGTGGCAGAAAAATCACAAATGTATCTATTCTTGCACCATTTATACGCCAGAAATAATGAGATTAGAGTTCCCGTTCCGTCCGGTTTACAATGCAGTGGTAAATTCAACACTGCGCTTATGCATCTTAATAGCTTTCCAACGAATAACCTTAGATCGATTCTTTTTCACATCAGTTAAGATGAATTTCAATGGGATTAAGATTTCATTTTCGTCATGATACAAAAATCAAAAAACGAAAAGAAAAAAAAAATCACCAGATCCACCGCAATTGGACATTAAAACTTACAGATCATGAGGTTGTTCACAATATATATTATAAACATTGAAAATCTTTTATCACTGGAACCACAGTAATCGAACAATATAATTCTGAAAAACCATACCAGTCATATTACGCAAACACCACGCCACAAATCTCACCATTGTGATGAACTGAGAAGTATAAACTTATGGGATATAAAACGATAGGAAAAATTTAACACTGCTTGTGAGAATTTACAAGATGAAACCTCACATCGATTCGATTTCACAACAGATATGATGAGATCTAAGCAACATTACATCACTACTATCAATTTCCATGGAATCAAACAAAAACAAAACAAAACGAGCTAATACATTGGGCATTAAAACGAAAGAGTAATCACCAGAGCCAATCCTATAGTATAATCCTTGAAAAGCTTGATGACGAACTTCTAGGGCGAAATCAAACAACTAAACAATGAAAACGCATGAATAAATTTGAGAAAAATCACAAATCTATCAAAGAGATCTTCAAATTAAATCAATGCGGTTAGTGATCATACAGTTAAGGTTATCAATCCCAAATTTCCAGAAATCAAACAATGTTCACAAAATGAGATTGAGAAAATTGACAAATCTTGATGGATCAAGAAATCAAGTATATAAAAAAATAAAAGACAACCAAGATCCATACATTATCACGATAATTCTCATTATTCACCCTATGTATAATAAAATTTGTTAACACGGATAAAGGAATTTAAACAAAGATTAAAAAAGAAACTACATTCCCACGTTCTTTCATCTTCCAGGCACCAAAAATCAACGGATCGGGAGGGAGAGCGTCAGATCTGAGGATTCCTCACTCAGACGCGTGTGGTGACGGTTGGGATGGCAGCGGCGGTGGCGGGACCGCGGAGGAAGGAGAGGAATCCGGTAGCCTGTGAGGCGTCCTGCTCGTCGAGGAACAGATCCTCAGGCACGCGGAACGCGCCATGGAGGCAAACAGCGGCGACGCCGAGCATGAGAGCGGAGACGAGGACGGAGCCGACGCTGGTGAGGAACACGACGAAGACGGTGAGCGCAGAGAGGATGGTTAGGGTTTCAAAATCGGAGAAGGTTCGGCCGAGGAGGACGAGAGGCTGGTCGGAAGGGCGGAAGAGGTAGAGGAAGGTCCAGGAGGCGAGGAGGCCGGCAAGTAGGACAAGGGAAAAAGGATTGGTGAGGAGAGAGATCGCGAGGATCAGCGAAACGACGGCGTAGTAGTTCACGCGGAAGTAGGAGAAGTTTTTGCGCACGCGGAGCGTGGCTTCGGAGAACGATTCCGGTTTGGCGAACGCGGAGCGATCCGCGAGCTCCGCCCAGGGGCGCCGCTGATCGAGGCCGTGGCGGAGAGAGGCGGAGAGGTGGTTGATAAAGGCGCGGAAGGCGGGGTTGTTGGCCGGAGCGTCGGACCCCACGACGGCGCCAGGGCCTCCTGCAGCGACGGGTTGGGCGTTGGAGATCGGGAGGACGGGAGGCGCGGTAGAGGACATGGTTTTAGAGAAGAGAGATGGAGGATTGGCTTTAACTTTCAGAGAGAGAAATTTTGAGAAGAAGGAAATTGAGAAGAGTTGGTATTTATATTTATTGGTTTGTTTGGTTGCTTAGTGGTGAAGGTTACGAACGCATCACCGACGAAAAACGCAGTTGCGTTTGAGCTCTTTCGTCGCACTCACACCTCGTTTCCCAAACGCGTTTGTGGAAAGCGGCATGATATATGGTTTTCGAAAGTGGGAATTACCAGAAGATAATTTTTTTTTAGGTCAAAGTGTACTAAATTATGTGGTGCTTCTTCCACTGTGTATCTCGAAAGATGCGTTCAAGATACTTAAAATTCTGAATATTTGTTTCATTTTGAAATAATTGTTTTATTTATAATCAATGCGGTAGTTATTATAATTATTTTAAGTAATTATTATTTGATGATATTATTTTAGATGGTTATTATTTTATTATTTTTAATTTTTATTTAAAGAAATTCATTTAAAAGGTAAATCTCATTTTAAAATATAATATTTGAACGCTTTAATCATATTTTAAGGAAAGTAAAATAGTAATGTTACTTTTATTCTCTTTTACGAAATCGAGTATAGAATAGGTAGACATGGTTGAAGTTGGATAAAGTGATGACATCAAAACCATTGAGGGAGAAACCCTTCCTTTTCGAGACCGGAGATTCTCCGGCATGTGAACTTGTTTTAACAAACGAAGATGAGTTAAAAATTCACATGCTGACTATTCACCCAAAATCGATTGAAATATTTAAGATTTTATGCATGTATTTCTTACGTACTATGTGCTATATTTTTTATTTATATATTTTATGAATATATAAAATAAAAATATTACAAAATATTAAATATTAATAATATCTTAATTATAATTGACTAAATTAATCTAATATCTTAATATTTTTTATCTTTTTTTTAAATAATAAAATATCTTGATAATTAATTTAAATAAAAAATAATAAAATAATATTCTCAATAATACACCGTGTTAAAACCGTTAATATTATTAATGTTTATTCTACGAATTTTGCCCTTTTGTACGTTGAAGTATAATTTTTCATTTTTTACAAGAAATAAAGTTTGTTATTCTCCCCGGATTGCAAAGAATTCGTACACAAATTCAATGATTTATTATCTACACAAAAACACTACATAAAAACACAAGATAAGTGAGAAATAAATTAAAAAAGAAAACAATTTAGAATAAAAAAATCTATTTTCATTAATATTTGAATCTTATAAATAATGAATATTTTATTAAGAATATGCTTCTCCGTTTAAATATTTTCGGTTCAAACTATATCTATTATTTAATCTAGGTCAAATTTCTTATAATCAACTCATAATAGAAAAAAATTTATTATGATATATACTTTCGTTTTAAGTTTTGGATTTTACGTTAATATTTAAAATAGTATTATACATATCACAAACAATATTTAATTCATAAATATTTTTAATATATTTGTGATTCACACTAATTAAATCATAAGATTGAGAGATAAAGTAAACACATATGTTCTTCTCATTATAATTTCAAGAATCCTATAGAAGTTCTTCCTCCATCCATTTTTTTTAAAGGAAAATTTTCACAAATAATAAAAGTAAATGAAGAGTATTTATAATTTTGTTTTTCTCCATTTTTTTTCACGCTCTCTCGTTTCTTTATCTTCAATATCTCTCTTCTCCTTATTTTCTTTAAACTTTATATATATATATATATATATATATATATATATATATATATATATATATATATATATATTTATCATCTTTTTTTTTTTAACTCTTTTTCTCTTATTTATTCTCTAAGTTATTTATCCAATCTTTCTATCTTTTCATTAAACTTTTTATCTTTTTCTCTAAGCGCCTCTTTTATTCCTTTTGTCTTTCTCATGGGAAGGTGATGATTTTTTTTTTTAAGATCACAAAACATTACCTACAAAGCCTAAAACAAAGTTAGCAAATATGGATCTCACCATTTCTTAAATGTTTATAATCAATTTACTTGTGTTTTACTTTTGAAATAATATATTATGTATTCTCATTCAAATTTCTATTTAGTTCTTAAGAAGAACTCCCAATAAACTCATTACGAACAATATTCAAAGTAAAAGATGTAATAAATCTAAACTCAACTTTAGGAAGTCAAAAAATGAAAATTATAGCACAAAATCAAGAAAATCAAAAAACAATCTGAAAGGCACAAAATTAAGAAATGGGCTAAACCAAATGGAGTAAAAGATGTAAGAATTAAACAAAGAAAAACATTTTAAAGACAAGAGTGTTCTACACAATATATTTAGAATTACTACTAGAAATGTAAAACAAAACAAGTAAGTTAAACAACTAGAAAATCAACTCGTAAGAAATGATAATAAAAATTTTCTAAAAACTCTGAAAACTAACTTTTATTGATTTTTTGTCATACCTGAGAAATATAATGGTCTATTTAAATTATGTTAAAAACCTCTAATCATATCTCATAAATAAAATTTTCAATATCAAATAACAATTACTCAGGATATCATCAATATTAAAACGTTCCAACAATATCAAAATCCTCCAATTCGTAATCTTATTATTAATTTTAATCAATAAACTACCCTGTAAAGTTAATGCTCTCTGCAACAATAATTTCTGACTTGCCATCTTCAAACTTTCGAGCTCCCAACTTAGTTGAATTGTCAGTTCGTCAAACATCCGAGTTTCGAGCACTCGAGTTACTTTCATCATTCATCTTGATCAGTCTCTTACAATTCTTGAATAACAAAGTGGGCAGTGGCTTTGAAAAAATATTAACAACTTGTTCTCAGCTTGCCACATGTACGAGTTTCATATTCTCTTCCTTCACATGTTCTCGGATGAAGTGAAAATGCACATCAATGTGTTTGCTTCTCTCATGATTGATCGAATTCTTTGCCAATTTAATGACCGACTTGTTATCAACTCAGATTATAGTTGTACCGAGTTGTTTCTCCACCACTGAGCTTAGCAAATTTCTGAGCCACACTGCATGACACACACTCTAAAATGTTGCTATGTACTTGGCTTCACAAGTTGACAATGATACTATGGGTTGCTTCTTCGAAAGCTAGATAAATGACGTGTTACCCATGAAGATTATATATCTTGATGTATTTTTTCGATCATCCACACCAGTCACTGTCTGAGTACCCGACAAGACAAGTTGTCAATCATCCGACATTGTGTACAATAGTCCTAGTGTCAGTGTATATCGGATATACCTCAATATTCGCTTTAACGTCTTCCAATGAGAGTATCTTGGATTTTTCATAAACCGACTGACAATCCCAACACTCAGCAACAAATCAGATCTAGTACTTATGAGGTAACAAAGATTTCCAACTAGGCTCCAAAATCTGCTCAGATCATCTCGGTATCCTTGATCAAATTTTAAATCTTTGTCACTGGTTCCATGGGGTTGAGACCGAAGTCATCTTAAACTTTTTTAGAATCTCCTTTGCATACGCCTCTTGGGACACAAATATCCTTGACTCCTTTTGTCTTATTTCCAGACCAAGAAAAAACTTCATCATGCCAAGATCGATCATCTCAAATTCAATTGTCATTGCGCGCTTGAATTCTTGAATCATTCTAGGATTATTTCTCATAAAAATGAAATCTTCGACATATAGTGCAACAAACATCACATTACCTCCATTATTCTTTACATACAAAGCATGTTCATAGGGACACTGTATAAACTTGTTCTTCTTGAAGTAGGTATTTATCGAGTCATTCCATGCATGAGAAGCTTACTTTAGTCCTTAAAGAAACTCCTTCAGTCTCAATACTTTTTCCTCCTCACATTTTTTCACGTATTCAAGTGGTTGCCCAACATACATCTCCTCCTTTAGCACACCATTCAAGAATGCTGACTTGACATCCATTTGTATGATTGACCATTTGTATTGTGCTGCTAAAGAGATTAGCAGCTAAATAGTCTCCATCCTTGCTACCAAGGCTAACACCTCATCATAGTCAATCCCTTCTTTCTGCTTGTAACCCTTTGCAACCAACCAGCTTTATACTTTTCTACCTCTTCTTGTGCATCGAGTTTCTTCTTAAACAACCACTTTACGCCAATAGGTCGAGTGTGGTTCAACAGTTGAACTATCGTTTAAGTGTCATTTTGATCTATAACTCATATCTCATCATCCATGGCAGCTCTCCACTTCTCATCATGCATGACCTCTTCAAATGTGATGTCCTCCAAATTTTTCAAAAGACAAACAACATGAACCTCATCAGTTAAATCATATAAGTTTTGCAAACTTTGTATTTTGGGTTGTGGTTCATCCTCCTCCTCTGCTTCCTAGCTGACAACAATTGGTGGTGCAATAGCTTAGCCTCCTCTATCTTTCTTTGATTCTCCCTAGTTCTACTCACTTGCTTCATCAAATCGAACATCACGACTTATAATTACCCTTTACTGATCAAATCCAACAACTTATACGCTTTTGATGGTTCATCATAATCAATGAACACATACTTCTTACTCCTATCTTCAAGCTTAGTCTTTTGTTGAGACACAATCAGTTTTTCACCGCTCCATGCCTCTTGTGGTGTTATATCATCTAACATTGCATGTGGACACCTATTTTGCACATAGATAACACATTGCACTACTTTTTCCCAAAAACTCCTTTGACATATTTTTTACCTTCAACATACCTTGGACCATGCTAAGAACAATTCGATCTTTTCTCTCAACTACACCATTTTATTGTGGTGAGTACGAGGATGTTAGAAATCTTCTTATTCCTTCATCTTTACATTATTTTATAAGAGTTTCCAACATGAATTCTCCTCCTCTATTAGATTGGACTGATCTAATATGCCACCCGGTCACATTTTCAACCATCATCTTGAACTTCTTAAACACTTCTAACACTTTAAATTTCTCTTTCAGTAGGTACACCCACGTCTTTCTAGAAAAGTCATCAACAAATATCATG